CGCCACATCGCTCCACGTCGCATCAGACACCGGCCAAGCTACAAAAGTGCGGTTTCTTATGATGACGATGAGGAGGAGGATGAGGAGGAAGAGGAGGAGGTCCTGGCCAGACCAGGTTCAGCAGGAGGAGCGTGGCCCCTGAACGTGCCGCTCAGTGACGCTCAGAGGGCCATGTCGGCCTCGTCACCCTGCGTCGTGGACCCACCTGCTCCATCCTCGTCTTCATCGGGGAAGAAGCTGCCTCAGATTTACGTGGAGGACATGGAGGCATTGACTCCTCGGGGAAGGAGCTCAGAACCTGGACCTGGACCTAGACCTGGATCTGGATCTCCACGCCAAGCCACAGAGGCACCGTCGCGCCACAACGTCCAGCCTGAAGGCGTCCAGGTGGAGCCCAGACGAGGATCACATCCGGGTCTGTCCTCCGGCCACGGCAGCATCTTCTCACCATCTTCTGACGCCTCCTTCTCCAGCAGCGACTGGCCTCCGTCCGGTTCCCCGAGAACGTCGAGGTGGAACAGCAGCTCTGAGGACCTGCAGGCGAGAGCAGGTACGTGAACATCAACATTCAACTCAACTCAACGTGGAGGAAAGATCCACTTGAGAACCAGATGTGTATTAATCCCCAGCTGAAAATAGTCCCCGACCAAAGAGCTGCAGCCTCCTGTTTGAGGAACATTTGCGTAAAGACGAATGTACCAAGAAACAGCCAACGTCTGAGATCTTTAGTGACATTTGTGGGCCAGAAAAGTAAACCTACAAAATCCAAAGTTTAGCTGAATGTTAGAGGCTACATCTTATGTGACACAAACTGAAAAAGGGATTTAAAGTGTTGGAAACTTTCAGATATTTCCTAAAGAAAAAACAACCATCTTTAGTTTCTGTTTTATTCAAATAATGAATCTGCCGTCACTTGTTTGTTGCCTCATTTATCACACGTCTGAACCTCGTTTTTAAATGTATTTTTACACTGATATTAACACAGGTTCTGTGCATGTTAATGTTTGTTTTAGGCTCCTTTTTGGTCGCGAACCTTTCTGCTGTTTTTTTAATGTTTCCAGTTTTGGGGGAGCTGCAGCATTTTTCCATTTTAACAGCTAAATGAGAAGGAAATTCCCGTTTGAGTCTATATTAAAGGCGCGGTTTCATTTCCAGGTGAGCGTGTGGGCGTGGCTAAAACCCACGACGCCTTCCAGCGGGTCCAAGCAGCGCATCCCGAGTCTGCGATGCGTCGCGGCGACGGTAAGACCACGATACCTTGGCATCACTCGACGGGAAATCTCCTTGACGACCAGAAGCCTCCAGCCCGTTCGTCTCCGTTGCATCGCTCCACCGACCAGCTCCACGACGAGCAGAAGTTTGCAGCCCGAGTGATGCCGTGGCACCTCTCCACAGGTTTAACATAGTTTTCTCTATGTGTTCCACTCTGGAGCCGGTAGACTTGTCCGTGATTGTTTGTCGGTTGTCGGGTTAAGTTAAACCAGGTAACATAAAGATGGATTTGTTGAACTTGAGTCAGACCTCAGCTGAGACCCGTCAGGAAACATCAGATCATTAATTCTGGTCTTTTGTGACAGTTTTAGAAAGTGTCTTATTGTGAATATGCACAATCTGAAAACATCACAAACTGCCTGACTGGTCGTCTGTATGACTGCTGGAGAAACATCGACACAGATGAACCACTCGCTGCTTTAAACTCATTTCAGACTGAAACACAACAAACAAAGAGGACAAATATCTGCTGACACAGCTTTGTCGTGACAGAAACTCTGACCTGAAACAGATCGTTCTTTAGATTGTTAGTCTGCCTCAAACAAAGCGTCCGTCGGATCCTGTGACAGCGGCTGAAACTCGATCCGTCCACATGTGCACTGTTGGATCAGGAGGAGTGTTTTGTTAAACCGGTAATCAGACAAACGTGGACGTAGACAAGGTTTCGTCTCGTCTCTCGGCTTCATTGTGGACAAAAATAGCAAATCTTTCCAGATGTTCAGCGCCGTCGATGCTCCACAATCTTACTCCTATTTGAATAATTCATTGCATCTAATTCATTTTTAAATTGCAGCCACTTAGAGCAGCTGTAAACACTTTAGCTCCAGTTTGCGATCAGGTTTTCCTACTTGTGCAGCATCATTATATTACTTACTGGGCTACATACATGATCTCCTGTTCGATATACGTTTGTCTCACTTCCTGAATGCCTCAAATGTCGTGCACTTTAGTCGCATTTCCAGTTTCGTTTGTATTTTGGTAATAAAGGCTTTCTATCTGGTCTGTTGTAGGTAGCTTGTTCAGAGTGTCCTGAACCCTGTCCTCCGTCTTACAGGTGACCTCTGTGACGACCGTGAGGATGCCCAGTCCAGCGACGGCTCCGCCTCCTCTCCACAGGTGAGGCAGCGTCCCACGGTGGCCCGGCGGGTCAGCAGCCGCCTGAGGAGCCGGATGTGCCGAAGCATGGGGGCCGACCTGGACCAGCTGCTCCAGGAGGAGGCCGGAGGCGTCAGAGGAGGACCGGGCAGCAGTGAGGCGGCCCGGCTGAACCGCCTCCACCGGATCTCCTCCTCGCTCAGCCTGCGCTACAACCTGTCCACCTCCTCGTTGTCGTCCTGCTCCACGCCGCCTCGGTGCGGCAGCATCAGCAGCCTGGTGGACGTCAGCGAGAAGGGAGATGTTAGGAGGAGCCTCCCCATCACCTCCTCGCCTGCTCACCATGAAGGTCGCAGTCGGCAGGTAGGACTGAGAAGCACTGTACTGTGTCGGTTTGCACGGATTTGTGAACTGGGAACGATTAACGGTGTTGGTTCTATGCATGTAAACATCAGTGCTGATTACTGTCCACCTACGTTTGCATGTTAAATGTCTTCTGTGAGAAGGACATAGAAGATATAAATAACTACAGAGGCTATAAAACGTGTTCAGCCTCTTGGAAGTTTCAGCCTTTTATTGTCAGATTGTTAAAAATGTAAAGTGAGTGTTTGTGTTCGTATTCACGCCCTTTAAAGTGACTAATTCAACACAGGTTCAGCCAGTTGGTGCTAAAAGCTGAACATAATCATCTGACTACAGTGAATCAGTTCTCCTGGATAGAACCACACCATGAAGACTAAAGAACACTACAGGAACTCTGGGAGAAGGTTGTTGAGAAGCATCAGTCAGGAGACGATACAAGAACATTTCCAAGTTACTCAATATCTTGTAAAGTCCACTTAAATCCATCATTAGGAAATGGAATTAATATGGCACAGGTGTAAATCCACCTAAAGCAGGGAGTCATTAAAAACTGAGCCTAGAGAGGGAGGCCACCCAGACACCTATGAGTCCTCTGAAGGAGTTAAAAACTTCATCTGCTGAGCTGGGAGAGACTGTTCATACAACAACTGATAGCTGTTGGAAAAAAAATACTACATCTGGACTAGAGTTCACCAGGAGACGTGTGGAGACTGTGACGTCACCTGGAAGAAGGTTCTCTGGTCCGAGGAGACTAAAATTGAGTTTTGGTCATCAAATTAGAGTTTGGAGGACACC